ATCTCTGCGTTCATTGCGGCTATGAATATTCAAAACTGTTTACCGCGTGGAATTGACCAAAAACACACAAATATCATATGATTTATTTGATTTTTGGAGATGAAGGTAACCCAATAAATACCCCCTTTTCTCTTTCAAAACATCAGATCAAAGCTGGCATTGGGAAGTAAATTTTCTCAGCAGCCAAACATGGGTTGTAAGATAAACCTTATGCTTTATGTACTTGTTCTACTCTTATCAATTTCGCTGCTCTTGCCTCCCTCTTCATGCAGAAACCCAAACTTCGGTAAGTTCTGCTAAAACCATGTGAGTTACTTGCATATACCAATCTATATAAAAACCTTTTATTTTTATAGGAAAGAAGGTGAAGGAGCAGATTGAGAGAAATCTAATAGATGTAAAACCAACACCAAAGCATGGTGGTGCTGGTCATTAAACATCTCCTAATAGCAATTTTACTGGCGCGATCAGAACCCAGGATCATAATTAATTCTCAGCGAGTCTAATAATTACTGTATTTATAGCAAAATCATCTTCTTCTCATATATTTTTTCTTTGTATCACATTTTAATTGGCTTTTTAATATAATTATATAATATAATATGTAAAAATTATTAGTTCTATATGTGGCATCTTAAATCTAGCAGCGAAAATTTAATCAAATTCGAAATATTATATTAGTCATCAAAGTGGCCATACACAAACATCAATTTTATTGCATGCAACTAATTGTATAAGAACTCTATATTTTCTCTGGTATCATCCTAGAAGTTCAAAAATAAAGAAATTTACAAGAGTAACATATATAATATGAATGAACTCCTGTACGTAAAAAATAGTATCAAAGTTCAATTAAGTAATCGAGACATAACAAATAAGTCTTAAACATTACACAGTCATGCAACAATTTAGACATAGTATTCATCTGATCAATTTATGGTAATACATGGCATTACTTGTATACAAAGATTATGATCGAAGCAAAATATTTATTTGTATTTCATTAAGTTTAGCTTGATCGGTTTATTAGCAATCTATGAATGTTCGGATCTCAATTTCTCATCATGTGTCGATACGGTATTCAGTCGGAACACATAATCTTAATAATAAATACCCCTTCGTCTCTTCAAGAATGAAGTCATTAAATAACTCGTATATAATAGCAATAAACCTTACGGCAAATCAGTAATTCAGTCAATATTGAAATACCATTCCTGAGACTGATATTTATAATTTAGCCTATAATTAACCCACCGATGAACATTTGACTCCCCGGGGTATTCAAAAATTAAAAAATGATTCCTAATAAAACCAGCAAAAGAAAATATAAGGCAGATTAAAAAAAACAAAAAATCCATTTGGTGTACGAGAAACCAAGGTATGGCTTTTCGATCGAGCTCGTTGGAATTTCGTATTTGCGTAGAATGGCAACATCCCCGGAAACTGCTCAGTTCATGGCGCATCAGGTTGTTCCGATCTTCTGTGGCTGTTGAACATAGATGCAACAAAGTTAATGATACATTTGCATTGCATTGCATAGGCAAGGACTTGGACCTGATACTATTGCTTGGGTATTCATAGGGGTCTAATAATCCTAAATTGAGTTCGAGTTGTAAGAAATCCGATCTCGACTCAAAATTTATGTTCAAACACAATTCGAGTTTAGCTTGAATTCAGTTAGCTTGAGCTCAACTCAAATATAATATAAGTAGCTTGCGAATAAGACGTCTCGTTTATACTCGTAAGTGTGCGTACCTTCTTTAAATTGGCCTTGTTGCTTGGCACTGCCGGTTTCAATATCTCGAACGAACACAGAAGAGTTTCATCAATACTCAATAGAGCACCAGCATTGTCAAAATCTCCACCATAGTTTGGAGCTGAAAATATTGTTACTAATTTCCTATTAGCAAAAAACTCGTACCCATCCTCCACAACCTGCAATTCAAAACTTTAGATTAATCCGAACCCGAACAAATCTGATGATATAAACTTTGATTTTGACAAATATGAACACTAGTAGTATTCATGTTTAAGATTCGAATTTCAGTATCTACAATCCCTTCCTTTATTCAAATGCATAAAGAAACTAGCTTACTTGATCCATAAGCTAACTTGCACCTATTTGATGCTGAAATTCAATAGTCAAGAAAATAAATCGACTCACTTGATGACCTCGGCAAATGAGATCGAGGTCGTTCTTCTCCAAAAAAGAAGCAACAATATCGGCACCGAAAGTGCATGAGATGCCTCGATCGCTATCCCCCCAACCCTCGATGTTCGGATTAGGGTCGGACCAAAGTAGGTCACATAGAAGACCGCCGTCGGGGACTTCCGTCGGCCTCTCGATTTCCTTGATTTGATCCAAATTTTCCAAATCCGGCGACAACCCGCCGTGCATACAAAGTACCTTGTCATCAATGAGTGCAGCCACAGGCAAATTGTTGAAGCAATTGGTGAATAGTTTCCAAAGACTAACGTTGAATCTCCTTTTACACTCGTCATAAAACCCATAAATCCGGTTCACCTTGGCGTCTTCATGGTTTCCTCTTAAGAGAAAAATGCGGTCTGGGTATCTAATTTTATAGGCCAAAAGCAAGCATATTGTCTCCAAGCTTTGCTTGCCCGGTCTACGTAATCCCCAAGGAACAAATAGTTTGCATCCGGTGGATACCCACCGAATTCGAATACCCTCAACAGATCTTGGTATTGTCCATGAATATCACCTATAATATTAATATATCCCAGTAATTACAACTAAAATCAACATTATAAAATGTAATCCAAATACATCTGGCAATCAAAAAAGGGGAAGAAAAGAAAGCTAACCACAGATTCTAATGGGAGCACCGATCTGAAGAAGATTAGGCTGAGAGATGAAGATTTGTTTAGCATTAATACAAAGCTGACGAATCTCTCCTTCAGAAAGTTTAACCTGTTTCCCTCCTTTCCCTTCCAACAACCTTCGTATTATATCATCCAACACCGCCGTGTCCATCATTCCCTCTATTGTCATCATCACCCCTTCCTCTTCAAATACCAAATTTCCTCTGCAAATTATACCTGATTTTTTCTCGATTTCCACGAGGAATGGATGATAAAAAAATGGGTACTTGATGATATATCAAAGGGACTTGAAAGTATTTAGATCAAGAGAAAAGAAAATCAAAAGAGATGATGGAAGACATTTAGAGTAATTCATGGAAAGTTTGTTGTTGTTAGTTTTTTTCTCTCTCAATTTTTTTATTATTTATTTTAGTAAATCTTTTATCTGTATCTCATATATAAGGATTTTTCTTTATTTTATCTACATGCCAAGAAAAGATTGAAAATGGCCAATACCATTAGTTTGAAACCTTCAAACTTTATGTGTAAATATTATGGATAGATTTCTAATTCAGATTATGTTTGAATTAAGGCTTGCTTTTGTCCAGCGTTATTTGTTTATATGTTTGTGTATTGTAATGATCGATTATATTTATAGTTATATAAATATATGTTTATTATAATTATACTTCTATTTATATATTGTATTGGATGATTCTAACTATATTCTACAATTAGTTAATTGAGTGACATTTATATGACTAGGGTTCAATGGATCGATGAAGGACACAAGAAATAACCATTTGAATCATACAATGGCCATGCAAAGAAAAGGTTGAAACTCCATTAAAAACTCGAACAAAAGATAGATACGAATAAATCTCATTGCATGGCAAACAAAACCACAAAAGGGGATGAAACTATTGAAAGACCACCGATAAATCACAATTAGATTCGAGCGACATGAAAAAACTATTCATAAACGTAAACCGCGTATCAATATCCGATCTGATGGTCCAAAGTAAGGGAAATCAGCATGATAATAAATACGCATCACTTTGATCAGTCGATGCAATTTCAATCTAACCCATAAAAAAATAAACAAAAATAACGGTTAAAAGATTGATAACATGCAAAAGACAGAAGAAACATGTCATAAATATATAAAAATGTGTTATAAAAACTGATTTATTAAAAAACTGATATTTAAAAGAGAGAGATAAATCTCAACTATTGAGATTAGATTTACATAGAAACGCTCTATTGAATGTATTGAATCAATCGTCGTATCAAATTATATAATATGAACAAGTTGGATAGATTAGTGAACAATTTGAACGCAAATAATTTCATCTCATTCAGTGACGACGAAATCCCTCCCAATGGGTCACCCATGATTGCCATGAATGTGTCCATGATGTCTAGAGTTATGGTGGATAAGATGCACATGAAGCCTTCTCACACTACATCGAGAGCATTTGACGGAACCAAACGAGATGTTATACACATGAAGTTTTAAAATTTTAGAAATAGATAAACTTATAAAATTTTAGAGAAGTGAAAACAGAATTTCAATAAAAAAAAATCTAAAATATATAGTAATTTAAAATCTCCATGTAGATGACTACCTACACCTGCCTCTCCCTCTGTTCATCCTCAATTATGGAGAAGATTGATGTTCTACTTTTGATTGGACCATACACGTAAGATGAGTTCATAGTTAAGACATCACACCGGTCTATAATTAACTATTGGGAAAGCCTTGGATTCATTCTCCTGGAGCAGTACCTTCAACACTCCACTAAAAGTTAAAATTCGTAATGAACGGACGCCTGATGAATATAGGCATTAAAAAAAGATGTTATCATCTAGTTTGTGAAATTACTTTTTGTCGAACGTTAAGAGCATATTTCAACATTATATCGCAAAGAAATTATTATAATAAATAGTGTTCATGATGATCAAAAAATTATATTTGTAGTTAATGCGATACTTATGTGTATTTTCATGACCATGAACTTGAATTTTTATTTTGTAAATATTCAATTAAGATCATTTTATTTAACAAATAATACAGTAAAATAAGTTTACACATTTAAAATAAAATTACAAATTAAAATAGTAAAAAGAAGGCTAAAACATTCAACTCTGTTTGAACACCCCAAAAAATCCACAAACTATGTACGAACATAACTGATGTCTTAGACAGATAAAACATAACAAAAATCAATGATGTCTTCAAATGTTGCAAGAATCTAACTTAAGAATCTGATTATATGTTTTGTTTGAAAGTGATTAAATTGTCCCTTCTTTAGAATCTCTTGAAAACTCGGGGCCGTTTGGCATCCGAGAAAATATTCATCAGAATGTCAATTATCAGCCGCCAAAACAGATGGAACTTCCATGTTTAACTTTCTTGTTTGCCTCTCGGAAAACCCAGATGTATAAGGCACTCCTTTAGCCTTTATCCAGTCGTCCCCAAGGAAGAACTTTCCCGGAGTGAAACCATGTGCCGTGGTCGGCGAAAGTTTCTTTATCGCCGGCCACGATACACGGCCAGTCGTGCTTGAACCAGGCCCACGGTTGTTGTATTCGGAAAAGTGACTAGTTTCTAAGCCACGATGATCATCCCCAACTGTCCATCCTTCTGGCTTAATGAAGTCGTCGATGAACGTCTCCATTATGATTGTCCTTGAGAAGTTCCCTAACGGTCGACCGAGGAACGTCGGGTATCGGTTTTTTAAATGAACTAAATCATCGTCGGCAATGATCGTCGAGTTTTGAATGACGATACCGGTCGGTTGACGTTCATCAGATCGACCTTGTGCGGTGACCACGTTTTTTTGCCCTTCCAAAGGCTTCCGGACCACGAATTTGCAGTTCTGGAAGACGGAAGCCGCGTCTCCGAAGATGAAATCAATCGTCCCCGAGACAGTGCAATCGCGATAGAATTGACGTTTGCTGTGAACGTAAAGTGTGTTTTGGTGGCCATTGATGGAGCAATTATACACGACGGCGAAATCGGATATCACCATTAAAGCAACGGCTTGGTGTTTGGCAGCACCGGCGGTGTTTTCGATCCCGATGTTTTTAGCATAGAAGAAGTCGCCATGAACGGCTGCATTGATTGAACAATATACATGAATGAACAAAAAAAGAAACAACTACATTTGAATGGTTGTATTTTATCATACCGACGGTGGCCGTGTTAAAGGTATTGAGACCGTCGTCATAGTTAAGACGACCAGTGATTCGAGTTTTCTCTTTACCGTCTCCGATTAGTGCGATGTTAGTCATGTTGTAATTGAATATGATATTCTCCTCATAAATTCCTTTCTTGATGTATATGACAAAAGGCTCTTGAGCATTATGGGGGATGAGAGTTATTGCATCCTCAATGGTTTTGAAGTCTCCACTCCCATCCTCAGCCACAACAACATGAGGCTTCAATTTGGATGGATCATTCTCTATGATTCGACGTTTTCGAGGATCATTTTCTTGGAGTAAACTACGTTTATCTAGTACGGAAATATAATCGTCATGTCCATCAATAAAATCGTAATGTCCGTCAATACTGGATTCTTTTTCTTGAAGTAGACGACGTTTATCTAACACGGTAATATAATCATCATGCCCGTCAACAAAATCATAATGCCCATTACCTTGAGGTTCTTTTTCTTGAAGTAGACGACGTTTATCTAGTATGGTAGAATAATCGTCATGTCCGTCAACACTAACATAAGGCCTACCACGGGGTTGTACTTCTTGGACTAGAGGGCGTTTATCTAGCATAGTAGCATAATCATCATGTCCATCAATAAAATCGTAATGCCCATCCATATTGAGTTCTTTTTCTTGGAGTAGACGGCGTTTATCTAGCATGGTACCATAATCGTCATGTCCGTCAACACTAACAAATGGCCTATTACGGGGCTTTATTTCTTGGAGTAGAGGGTGATTATCTAGCATGGTAGTGGAATCGTCATGTCCATCAATAAAATCGTAATATCCGTCAATATTGGGTTCTTTTTCTTGGAGTAGACGACGTTTATCTAACACGGTAATATAATCATCATGTCCGTCAACAAAATCATAATGCCCATTACCTTGGGGTTCTTTTCTTGAAGTAAACGACGTTTCCATTGGTTACTTTCATCTAACAATGAAGAGAAATCCCCATGACCATGAATAAGGCGTTCTTCCTTTGTGACCGAACTGCGTTTCGAAGGATTCTTATCCATCATGGAAGACGAATCCATATGGCCAATTACATGAGGCTCCTTTTCTTGAAGCAACCGACGCTCCCGAGGACTCTCATCCAACAAGGATGACCAATCCGCATGGCCGAGAAGTCCACGACTTACACCTTGAAACTGCAATTGATTAAGCGTATCGGACAACTCGCAAGTTATTGCAAGCCCGATCTTACTGAGTCTCATTGACATATTCAACGCATCCTTCATATGTCCTCTGAAAATCGTCGTCGTCGTATTGTGGAATCCGTCTAAACATGTTTGTCGATTGGTAATTGTAGCACTCAACAAAATCTTCAAATCCTCCAAAACCCTATCAATATTCCCCACATCCAACTCATCCACCTTGCTAATTGACTTGTGGAGTTCAAATATCGAATACGTCAACAATTGTTTACAATTCTCCAACGCCAACAGAGCCCTCGGATCCTTCGTGCGTTCTCTCAACGCGGTCGAATTCTCCACGGCATGCGTCGCGAATTTCACCCCGGCCTTGAACGCCGCTTCAACGAGCTCTTTGACACCCGCCGAATTTCGGGCCTCTATAAGAAGTTCTTCTTCACATGTTTGCTTGAAATCCGTTGGCCGGCAGATGGACTTGACTGCTTTAACCGAATCGGATACTTGGAAACCGTCGTCGTCGTCGTCGTCTTCATTGTCGCGATAGGGTTCACCTTTGGGGCTGTTCGTGGTAAACCCAATCACCACAGCAATCACTATGCCCACAAAGATCAAACTACACACTGCGATAATTGCAATTCTCGTCGTTTGTCCATTATCTGTAAGTGCCATTTTCAATACGCATACATGTATGGATGAGCTTCTCGATATATTTCAAGGCAAAGTAATAAGAAAATTACAAAACAAAACAAAACAACATAAAATACCCAAAATTTTTAGTTAATTTAAGTTAAATTAAAAGCAAAATTTGATTGGTTTATGGTTATTTTTAGTTACTAAGATGAGGCTTAAGAAAAAGACTAAAATAAAAAGGAAATGAGAGGTAGCAAATTGCAAAGCTTAATTTTAACACTCATAATTTAGCTAATTGTCACCATTCACAAGCTATTTTTGTGAAATGATTTTAGTGTATATAGATTGTGTGAGCACCCAATTATCTAAATAAATAAAAAAGAATCAAAAAATTAGGGAAAGAAAAATCTACGGGGAAGAATTGATAAGAAAAGATAGGAAAAAAAAGAGAGAAATTTTTTTTTAACCCGGCCTGATCAATCTTTAGAGAAAAGATATAGAAGAATTTTGTAGAGATAACAAAGGAGAAGAAAAAATATATAATGTGGTATTTAAACTCTTATAAACCAGTATTATTTTGAGAGAATTATTCAAACCCCAAAACGATATCATTTTGGATTTCAAAATCAGTATTCGATAATCACCCGACCTGAATCCACTTGTTTTGGAGACTTTTGGTACATTTCATTTTCAATTCGTCGTCATTATATGTATTGTAATTTAATCCATTTTTCTGATGATTTAATTTTGTTTTAACTATTAATTCTTATTTTCATTTAGTTTAGTCCTTTTTCACAAATTAATTGCCTTTGAACACTTGTAAGTTATATATTTTTAAAGCTTAGTTGTAATGAATTAATATATTTATTAAACTATTTTTAGTATTATTTATTTACCTATTTTAGACATTATAGTCTATTATTAACATTTTTCATTTATTTTATAAATCAAGACAACATTAAACTCTTTCCAAGGTATTAATATTGGGTATTGTAAGAGTGTTCTAATCTTATTCACGTATAACCTACCCTCAAATTCAATTTTGATCCTAATGTTACATACAAATTAAATTTGAAGGTATTAAATTGTGCATAGACCAAAACGATCGATGATAATTCTATCTTTTGACAAACTTTTCAAAGACTCGTGATTTTTCTCAAATCATTACAGAAATGTTTTCAACAATTTGGATTTTGGAGACTAATGTTTGATTTCAATTATAATTTTATTTTAGTTTCATTATTAGTTTTAGAATTTTATTAATTTAAGTATAATTTCAATTATGACTTTTTTCTAGAATTAAATTATTGTGTAATACAAATAGTTTTAAAATAAAGATTGATTGCCTACTCTCAATCCAAATTTTTCACCAAGACGATTGCATTTTATTAAGAAATGACTAAACATCTTATATTTTAGGTATAACTATTCCTATAAATGTGGAAGTAAATAAAAATTTTGTATAGTTTAATCAGTTTGCTTTGACGTTGAATTATTCTTCGGTAATACTATCAATTTGTACACAAAATTATTCTACATTACATCAAAGTTTAAACATAATCAAGTAACAAATTTGTTATGAAATGATAATAATAATGATTTTTCATTTATGAGGTTTAGCCTACATTAAACAGAATTCCAATTCACTATTCATACGTTATCGTCACCAAAGATTCAACCTAATATATGGTTTGAATTCTTAAAAAGGCAAAAGATGAGTTAAATTATTAACATGGATCAGATTTCTGGCTTGGAAATCTCATGAAAATGAGAATTCAAAAATCGCACAGTACGTTCAGCTTCGATCATCTGGGGAAATCATCGTCACTTCCATGTTAACAAATAAACGAATTCTGGAAGAAAAATACATACTTTTAAAAAGTGGATTAAAATAAATAATTGGAGACGGATCAGAGTTCTGGCTTGGAATCTCTAAAGAATTGGAGATTAAAAATTCGCACAGTTCGTTCAGCTTCGATCATCTGGGGAAATAATCATCACTTCCATCTCTTTCTAAATCATTAAAAATTTGAAATAGAAAACGTAGGGGAATCTGAATGCATATAAATTACAGGAAAGACTCAAAATGCCAGAATCTCAGCCCCAAGAAAATTCATATCGGCAACTTACAGCGCTGAGGTCGCTATTTAAATCGAAGCGCAACAGTGACTAATTTATTGCCTTTCATCTCTGCATTTATATTGATTTTCTAATGTAGAAATGCTTGGAAAGAAGATAAAACGAACAGAAAATTTGAAACAGCGGCAAATAACAGAGAGGCGGGCGAATTGGCGGATGAGCAAAGCTGAGGAGCAAGTGGATTATATATAGGGGGAAATGTAGAGGAGAAACCCTAATTTGGCGTTTCAAACAGAGATGAAATTACCTTAGTGGCCAATTTGGATACATAAACTACGAGAGTATCCTTACTGAAGCCCGAGGAATAATGGGCCATGTAACTAAAACCATGGCTTTCAGCTTAAAAATTAGAGTTTATTATAATTATGACTTTTTTTGCTACAATCAAAATTGTAGTTAAAATATATTTTTGTAAATATTTTATAAAAATACAATTATAATTTATAACCGATATGTTCATATAGTAATGACATGAATATAGACTAAAATAAAATTTGAACTAAAATTCATATATATATATATATATATATATATATTACACGTGGTCAAACTCCGACTTGAACATTCAAGATTTTGTAATCTCAATCTTTAATTAACACAATTGGAACTTTTATGTTAGTTCGATCGATCAATTGAAATATGTCAAGAGAAGTGAGTTAGTTCTTAAAGAAATTATGGTGAAAGCAATCACAGATGATTTAGAGTGATTTGGTTTTATGTAAACTCGATCGATTAGTTTACATCTACTACCTTAGTTATCCGTGTAAGATATATATCTTATTTTATTTTTATTATTAGTAAGATGACTAAATCGATTCATTTAATAATAGAGGGACTAATTCAATCGGATCACTGTAATAGAAGGACATATTATGTACTTTCACCACAATATGTCCTGTTTCGCTTGTCTGGTTAACCCAACAACGCTGTCTCTCATATGAAAATGTTGAATATATAAAGGTAAAGCCAATTACTTGAATAAAAATATTTGGTGTCATCCCTTTGTCACCAGATGATAATTTGTTCAATATATACATAGAATTATTGGCAAAGTTCAGTAAGCAGCAATTGGGAAGGTAGGGAAAGCATGTATGTAACAACGACTCTTTCGAATTTTAGGAGGAATCCGAGTACTGCAGCTCTACTAGGGCCGCCGCACTCGGGTTTAATGGTGTTGAGAGGACGAGAAGGGGCTGATGGAGAAGGGGCTGATTGAGAAGGGAGAGGGTTTTTCCGAGACGGGTATTCGAAAGGGTTGTTTAAGACACTCCCACTGCCTTCGAACGTTATGCTTCTCAACACGGACTCGGATTTCGGAGAGTATTTCGTGTTCATCCCTGTCCTTCAACCTTTGTTTTCAAATCGTTACTATGTTATACATGCTGATGGGAAGTACAAAGGGTTCTCACAATCTTTTTCTTTTTGTTTTATGATTGGAATTATCAATGGCTTCAACATTTGATGAGAAAAGCTTAAAAACAGGCTAGCAAGCAAGTGTTCGACTGAAGACGATGTGAGTTATTGTTGCTCAAGAAGAATCATACAAGACGTTGAACCGAGACCCTTTGATCATAGAGATGAATTACAACAGTTTGAGATCTGCAGCGATGGCGATGCTGGTTTTCATGCGAAATCCGTTGTTCCTAGCAGTTTTCCTCCCGCTTTCCTGAGGGTCAAATTCTTCCTCTTTGAGGAAAACAAGAGGGTTTATCAGTTCCATGATGATGCTAAAGGGCTCGATAACTCGATCCGGTCACGACTTCCTAAATTCGATTCTTCAACGACGAATATGGTCGTCGGGAAATGGTATACGCCATTTGTGTTTGTTAAAGAGGGATCTTTGAATGTTCAAATGAAGAAGTCATTGTTTTACACGGTGATGTTGGAGAGACTGTGGGAGAAGATATATTCATTGGAGAATGATGGGAGGGAAAGTAAAGTAGCACTGAATGTTGAGATGAGAAGAGAGGTTGATTTCTTGTTTGGGGTTGAAGTGTTGAGACGTAACAATGGTGATAATGGAGGGTTTATTTGGTTCAAATCGGGTGGCGGGAAACTCGGGTTGAGTTTGGCAGTTTGGGAGGGGATGAGGTGGTTGGAGGAGTCGATAGGGTGGGTCAATGGGGTTGAGAGGGTAGAAAGAGTGATGGAGATTGGTGATGGCGCAGCCGGTAGTGGGTGGAGGAGATTTGATTGTTATGTGTTGGTGAAAAAATTTGCTTTGGGAATGGATGGTACTTTAGTGCTCAATTGTGATTTCAGGCACACCCATGAGATCAGAACTATATGGGAATAGAAGACCCATAAATTTAATGTCCAACTATGTACCTTAAAGAACTTCATTTTTCTAGTTTTTATTTTTATTTATTCAACCATTTCTGACGTTCAATTCACTACGATGGATAACTGGGACATCGAGCAGGTCTATTTCTGAACCATGTTCATCGTTCAAAGATAAATTCACACATATCGGACACTCAAAGGAATCCAAATATTCGGATACTCCACAAGGACCACAACCAATACAACGAATAAATTGACATAAAACCAGATTATGCATGGACTTGTAAAAATTAGATATTGTTCAACAATTTTTTTTCTCACAAGACAATGCTCCTACTTTTTGTCCATAGAAAAAAGCAGTCTTAATGTACCCATACAGAGCTTGAATTTTCATTATTTTTATAATTGCGTTATTGGATACCCCCAACTCTTCAGTGGATATGCAAATCCAAGTCAAAAAGAAAAACACATCGGAAGTCCCAAGTACGATCTAATTTATGCCTACTCTCTGAAACAAACTTGAATAAAATTGGGGTGTCACCCGGTCGTAATAGCATACCTCTAGAACATTTAGTTGCGATTTGCTCCTACCAGTGCAATGTGCTCGATTAAGTCGAGTACTCGGTTGCTGTAAAGGAATTTCAGGAAAGAACCATGAGACTGTATTTCAAAGTAGCCGGTGTCTCAGTCAAGTATGAGCGTGTGAGAGAAAGGGAGGGAGAGAGGAGGAAGCGAGCTAGAGAGTGCTTAAAACATACCTGTATCCCCATTCGTTGTCGTACCACGAAACAAGCTTCATGAAAGAATTACTTAACCCTATTCCGGCTTTGGAATCAAAAATGCTTGATCTGGATGGGAAAAAAACAAGTCCATTTTAGAACATCTAACGCCACAAATCAAGAAATTACTGAATACAGCAAAAGACACACTCTCTATAAGTGGGGAACACTTCATGCCTAAATTATACTCGAAATGCTTGTAAACCTCTACGCCTGGAATGAAGTAGACAATGTATCATGTAACAACAAAAGGCATGTTGGAGAAAGAAAGATGGTTACCTTGAATCACCAACAAAATCGTTAGAGACAACATCCTCGTCTGTGTATCCAAGAATGCCTTTGAGTGGCCCCTCAGCAGCATACCTTCATTTAAAAGTTAATTTAGAGTCTCAGTAAATGTGAAATACACGGGATTAATAAGGGCAAAAAAAAAGGAAAAAACAAAAACAGGAATGAATGATGAAGAGAGAGGAGGGAACGCAGAGCATACTAAGCCAAAATTAGAAAACTCACTTCACGGCTGCTTTGACGTCTTCATAGGAGGCACTCTTCTGAAGTCGACAAGTTAAATCCACAACAGAAACATTGGATGTGGGAACACGGAATGCCATTCCGGTAAGCTTTCCGTTAAGTTCAGGAAGAACTTTTCCAACAGCCTATAAGAAAAACAGAGAAATCGTAATTTAATTTTAATTACAACCATAGATCTGTATCTTAAAAACTGAGATGGAATAAATTTGGCTATTTATCTCTCATACCTTTGCCGCACCAGTTGAACTAGGGATGATATTTTGGCCAGCTCCTCGACCCCCTCGCCAATCCTTCATTGAAGGGCCATCGACGGTCTTTTGAGTCGCTGGATGTTAAAAACCACATTAACATAAAATGCAATATCATGTGCAACAACAAAAATTACAGTCAGATAAAGACCAGATACCTGTAGTTGCATGGACAGTAGTCATTAAACCCTCAATGAAACCAAATTCCTCATGGACAACCTGCAAAATGTTACACCACAAAAACTGAGAAAACCTGCCAAAAAATGAAGAAACGCAAACCAGATGCTTCATGAGGAAATGGCCAGATTAATTGCCATCTGCTACTAGCTCAAACATACAAAAGAAAAATCTTAGAAAGTGAAAATCCTACTGGCCGGTACACCTCAATAAAACAATGGGAGAGAAGATTTTAGTTTAAATGCCATTTTAGTGATGAGATAAGCATGCTTAAAATCAGAGGATGCAACTGGACCTTCGCAAGTGGAGCTAGACAATTGGTAGTGCAACTAGCATTAGAAACTATGTCCATGCTTGGCTCGTAGGCCTTCTCATTCACTCCCACCACAAACATTGGTGCATCAGCTGAAGGGGCTGATATTACTACTTTCTTGGCACCACCCTGCAAAACACATTCATGAAAGTTCAATAGGAGATTTTTTTCATATTGCATGCACCAAAAGGTGTGCTTCTGCTATGTGATGACAGGAAACCTATATAACTAACCTTCATGTGTGCTGAAGCCTTAGCTAATGTGGTGAAAACGCCAGATGACTCAACAACAAACTCAGCGCCATAATCACCCCAAGGGATCTCTGCAGGGTCCCTGGTGGACATTATTTATATGTTATTCCAAGCTGAGATAGTTTACTATCAACTTTCAATCAAACCAAATAACAGAAATTTTATGCTGTAATTTGTATATTTTTATTCCATGAGAATAACACATTCCAGAAAAGCTAGTTGAAATCCCAATAAAACATTCAAGGAAAAAATCTCCAGAATACCTTTTGCTCACAACATGTACTTGCTTGCCATTGATTTCCAAGGTGGACTCATCCACGACTTCGATGGTTCCCTTGAAGGGTCCATGTGTTGAATCATATTTGAACATATAAGCCTGGATAAAAAAAACAGAATTAAGATACTGCATATGTTCAAAATTGTTGACATCTCTGAGAAACAAGGCCAAACAGGATGAATAGAAGCACAAGGCTAAAGACCAAATCTAAATGCTTAAATGGACATGCTCACCATGTACTTAGCATCGATAAAAGGATCATTGACTGCTACCACATCAATATCATCCCTTGAGGTTGCTATTCGTAAAACCAACCTTCCAATCCGACCAAAACCTGCAAAGTTTCATACGTAAATCAATGTGAATCAACTTGGTTTAGCAATTCATGACTTAAAAACAATTACCTTAACAGGATTCTAATTCTCTCCCGTGTTAGTTCACATGCTTACTAGGCCGATCTAGCAATATCCCATACAATGTTTTTAACTCCGCCTACCTCAAAATACATGATAGTCCAACAACTGAACTAAAGGTCCAAAGCTCACTTAACATTAAGGACAATGTAAGTATCGATCCAAGTTCCAGTTTAACATGTATGGCTTCTGAAACTTTTCAACCATGTATCGTCCAATAGGATATATGAAGTATGAACAGTAGTTCTTCCCAAGTTTTTGTCTCCTAGTAAAGATTGGGTACCTCAAGCCTATGATACCTACCCACACTTCGAACCACAGTTCCACACTTACAACATGTGATAAGCATGGGATGCTAGTTCTTCACTATTTTGCAAGCATACTTGCAGCAACTCAAATGCACACTATAACTGAATAGAAATAATTTTTATGTAGATCAAAGAAACGACGGGACAAATATGCGTAATTGCATATAACCATCAAATAAAGCTGAGAAAACCTTTAATCAAGTAAAGTGAACATACCATTGATTCCGATCTTTGTCTTCCCACTGCTCCGTGACCCTAAACAAATTAGGAAACAAGACAAGAGCAGAACATCAGTTCATACAATTTCAGAACTAAGATCAAAAGAATTAAACAAGTCTTTTTTCACGCTTATGAGTTGTGACCCTTCCCGTAAAATAAAAAAATTCAATTCTTACTTGGGATTGTAGGAGGAATTTCAGTAGCAGTGGCTTTGATGGGTTTGATACTCTTTGAGTTGCATTTCCTAAATTTTTAAAACACAACAGTATAAGAGGAAAAAACCAAAATTTTGCACAATAAACAAAAACTGAACAACCAACAGTGATAGCTCAACTGTAAGGAAGAAGATATAGTTGAAACTGCAGCGCCAAAAAAGGAGATGAAGTTCCCACCAAAATCAATGCTTGAAACCTAAATAATATCGCATTAACATCCAGATTGTCAATAAAAAGTGCATTTAGATTTCCAACTAACAATAAAATAAAAATAAACAAAAAATAAATTTTAAGTTTAATAAAAAAAATTACACGAGTATTCAGAATTTCATAAATTCATCAACATAACGAAAACGACTTATCAAAGAAGGCTCAGTCGCCAATCAAACAAAATGAAACGTAACAAAAAAAATCAATATCTACACTAAAAAATTAAAAATGGATGAAAATTGAAATGTTTATAGAAATCATTAACACTCCGTTTGGTTATCGATAAAACGTCTTAGAAAAATAACAATAACACAAATTTCAATCATTCAGCTTATGATTAGCTCAGTTCAGCTCTTAGTATTTGTTTTCCTTTAAAACCGGGAAAAAAAAAAGCAAATACAATAAAATATCGTTTCACTTATTTTGAAAGCTATATACGGTGTTGATCGGATCAAAGTTGATCACCTTGAGACGATCGGATGTGGAGAGAGAGATGTCAGAGCGAGAGCAGACGGATACGGTGGTGGCGGCGGCGGCGGCGGATCTAATGAGAGAAGAAAAAGCCATTGCAAAAGCTTTCGGAGAGAGAATAAAATAAAATTTAAAAAACCCTAACGGAAACTGTGAGGAGAACGAAGAAGAGAAGCTTTTGGCTTTTGAGAGGAAGGACGAGAGAACAAATGAGAAATATATATAATAATAGGATTGTGAAAGTGATGTTTTATAAAACCAAATCAAAAGTACACACTCGACAAGTTTTATATGGTAAAATTATTCATTTCATCATTTAACTTTATTTTTATTTTGAGTACTACAGTTTAAAATTTTTTAATTTAATCATTCCATTTTTAAATTATTTTTGTTTCAATCCCTAAATAGTTCAAACATAAAAGGTATGATGATATATTTTATTTTATTAATCTTTTATATGATAACTTGTTTATTAAAATTTTACTATAATATAATTTATTTTACTAATATTATATCATATAAATTTTAGAGTGAAAAAATTAGAATATTTCTCCCAACTCCACCATTTTTGTTCACAACTACGAGCATATGTTTAACGATGGATAGAAAGGAGTGTTTCGGAGTGCGATTGTACCCCTGAAAATTTAAATTTCATATATAACTTATGTATTTTTTGTATTTTTATTGATTATCTAAATTTGTATATGTTGAAGTTTTGTATTTTAGCACTCTTAATTTTTTTATATAATTTCTTAATATCACACAACTGACATAAAATTACATGTTTATCCCTCACTGTTAACATGCATCAGATTCAAACGAATATAAGAGAACAATAAATAAAAGTTTACGACGTTAGATTTGTTAAATTCAAGGTGTTTCTTATTAAATGGATATTAAATCCGTGTTTATGAGGACGAAACGAATTTATTAAAAAAAAATAGGATTCATTTGACGACAATCGACTGTAGTTAATCTTGACAAACAGTAGTCGAATACTCGAATTTTAAATAATTAAAATTTTATTAATGAATTAAATTCAATAATAATAATAATAATATAGACCAATTTAAGTCTGAAGTCGAACTTTATAACGGAACATCTTTGAAGCTCTTTGAGTAACCTGAAAAGCCATAATCTGGGGGCGAAAACAACTCTTTCTTTCGCCCGTTGGTTATCTCTCATTTGAGGTTTGACTTTGACTGCTCTCTTTTTTATAAATAATTAAAAACGGCTCACTACTATTTTCAAGCGTCACGTGACAGATACGTGAACACCTGAGTGTGGCAAAAACACAATCTTACCCCCTTCAAATTACACGGTGTTTTACAATGAAAACTACAAAATAAGGTAAGGTGTAAAATAATTTATGTTTTTTACTATTTATCATAACAATCATTAGTTAATTAAATTTTAAAAATTTGTCAAAAACATTTTTTTATTTTATTTGATACGACTCGAATTAAAGTTCAAATATAATTATTACTTTAATATTATTTAAATAAAAATATAAATAATAATAATAATAAAATTAGATTAACAAATCAGATCAAATATTAATTTATGAACGTGACATTAAAAAGCTGGAAATGTATGGTATTTCCTAAGAAAAATTGAAATATTAGATGAAGACAAGTTGGTGACCGTGTGGATCACGTGGGAGAGGTTGTCGAGTAGCCGAGGAAAATGAAACCTCCTCAAAATAACTCGGCGGAGTCCCCAAGAACCAAGGTGTCTCCAATTTTACTATTTATATTTAAAATTAAATATTATCTTTTTAATAATATTATTCTTAAATTTTAAATATTAAAACATTTTTTATGATTTAAATATAGGATAAAGTATAAAAATAGTCTCTTAACTATAAGGTGATGTTTTGTTTAGTCCCTCTACTATTAAAAGTTACAAAATGATCATTCAATTATAAGGTGTTGCTTAGTTGAGTCTCTCGACTATTAAAAGTTACAAAATGGTTAACCGACTATTTAGTATGTTCCAAACTCATCATCTTCAATTAAAAAAATTGACAACAATCTGAGCTAGATGTTAACTTGTTGATTAAGATATGATAGTTTTTTTTAGATTATAGGATCAAGTTTTATCATATCTCAATCATTAGGTTAACATTCGGCTTAGACTACCATCAATTTTTTAATCAAAAATGACGAGTTTGGAATATACTAAATAGTTTGGTGACCATTTTATAACTTTTAATAGTTGGGAGACTTAACAAAGCAACATGCTATAGTTGAATGACCATTTTGTAACTTTTAATAATCGAGTGACTGAACAAAGCATTACCCTATAATTGGGGGACCATTTATATACTTCACCCTTAAATATATTGAATTTTTAAAAGTTTATCACATGATCAAAGTCATCACGAATCGTTTTGAACTATATATGGTTAGAAATATTTTAAATTTGATTTACGTCTAACATCAAAAATCCTAATTGAGTTCAAAAACTTATTATGTATAAAGAAGATTTAAACACTTTCTACAAAAAGAAGAAGAAGAAGATTTAAGCACCTCACACTAAAATTAATAATTATATAGTCAATAGTAAAAAAATAAAAAAAATATTAAAATAAATCTGAATAAAACCCGAAACTTAAATCAAACTAGGTTTAAACTCAAACCAAAAAATAGTATGTATAATATATATTGATGAGTTGTTGGGTGGTGGCGGGTAGGTAAGGTTAGTTGTCTCTACTTCTTTGCTAGTGACCACCCCGTTCAACTTGCACAGTTCACCAAACCAAATATAATTATTAATTCTATAAAAGAATTACACAATATTTTTTAAAAATATGTTTGAATTTAATGCACCATTAATATATAAAAGTGAAAATGTTCACTATTTTAATTTATTTCACCAAAACAGTTTATGTTAGCTTTCTGGACTATTATTTTTAGGTTTAATATAAAAATAAGTGTCTAAATTATATTATTTTTTTAAAGTGGTGCATGAACATTTATTCGGTTAATCCAGGTGTCTAATGATACAAATGTTATCACTTTAAATGTCTCGATCATAACGGCCGTTAAAAAATCTTGTTAAGTGACACATGTCATATTTTGGTAATTTTAAAAAAATTATTTAAAAAAAACTTGAAAATTTATTATATTTATAAAAAACATAATTTATCTAAAATTAAAAAAACAAAGCCATGAAAACTCCAAATCCCTAACTCTAACACTAATCTTACCTCCCTTATCGACCACTATCGTCGTCGCCAACACCGTCTTTGCCATCCCCTAGTTGGACGACGTCGACTTTGCTGTAGATTTGGTCGTTGAGGTGTCGTGGAGCCGCGAATTAGGGCAATGGACATTCATAATTTAGTCGCGATTTAGTTCTCATGGAGTTGAGATGGTTGTCCTTGTTGGCAGGTAATTGGTCGTCGATGGAGGTGCAGTCGGGTGGAGGTTTGATCAACGATAATGGTGGTGGTCAGCGTGGGTATAAGGATTAGGTGTAGATTTTTCAAAGTTTGGGGGAAGTTTTTAAAATTTACAAAAAATTTAGGTTTTTTATTAAAAATTATAATTTTAAGTTTTTTATTTTAAATAAAAATTTATATTACCACAACGTGTCACTTAAAGGTGAACTTTAATGCATGTTACATACGAGACACCTTAGATTGATTGAAAAAAATTTAAACACCACTTAAAAATGATATAGTTTGGGCACTTATTTTTATATATTAAATCTTATTTTTATTTATTTTATTTTGATCATGAAGAATTACCCGTCCGACTCAGTTGGTAGAGCACAAATCTCTTAACCTTGTGGTCGTGGGATCGAGTCCCATGGTGGGCAATTCATAATTGTCGGAGGTCTTCTACGGAAGTTGCTCTCAACCTAGCGTTAGGGGCAGCCTACTACCTTATCTCCCCTTTACCCCATTACATATGGGAATAGGGTCAGCTAATTTTTATTTTGATCATGAACATTGTAAATATTGGAATATGAATGAACGTTTGACTAGATTTCGACAAGTTCTGACCCACCTAATTTTATAGGATCTAGTTTTTTTTAAAGAATATTGAATTTAGTTTTATCGTGAACAAAATTCGATCTAACACGAAATTAATAATATAAATGATTGTATATATAAGAATAATTACTATTATACTCCTATTTCTATATATATATATATATATATTTTCAATTAGATCTTTGTTTTACTTGATAAGATATTATGTATATGTATGTGTGTTGAGTGGGTACTAAATTTTGCCCCAGAAAGCAGACTTAGTTTCAAGTCAAATTGAGTTTCTCCAAATTCAAATCGGGTCAAATGCAGGGGCGGATCTCCATGGTGCTCGGGGGTATCCCGGGCAACCCCTCATTCAGGGTCGGACCTCCATGATGCTCGTGTATTCCAGACAACCTCTCCACAAGTGTCACCCCTAATACAAGTGTCACCTCTCAAAAGTGTCACCCTGAGGCTCTTGCAACCCCTGAATTTTTATCCTGGGTCCGCCTCTAGTCAAATGACAGGTGGATGAGTGTTATACTCGAGTCATATTTGGGTGGGCCAAAACTCGATACCATCCGACCCAAGATCATCCTTACATTAGAAGCTTTGCTTAAAGTTTATACTTTACTAATAAAGACGCGTCCTGTAAAATGTATCTTTTGAAAAGCACAATATATGTGACACGTATTTATCAAAAGGGTAATATTTTCTTAAATAAACTTTTTTAGATATTATCTACGTAAATAATAAAAGAAATGGTATTATTGTATAAATTCACCTAGTTGATCCGTCATCCGTGTTCAATATTTGATGAATAATAATAATAAGATATAGTATTAAAGATAATTTGGAACAAAATTATCCTTTTCTTCTTATTTTATTATTTTCTTCATTTTCAGCCCGCAAAGCCGTAACAACAAGTGAAAGGATAGACTGCTAAAACCTATCAATAATTCTCAATACTGCATCCGAGAGTTCTAAATAAACCCTCATATCATAAACCACACCATAAGGAACCGTCACATTATACGCCTTCGCATTTTGCTTGCAGTCCACCTCTCTTCCCAGCGCCGCAACCACCATCTCGTTCGTCCCGTCGTACTCTTTCGCCTCCAACATGCTCGTCGCGTTGCCGAGATGGGTTGTCGCCACGGAAAAGCATTTCTCGCAACTTTGTAACACCGATTTCGCTTTCTTGTCGTGCATGGCCGAGGCTAAAGCCGACATGTTGCTCGACAACATCCCGACTTTGTTGCTTAGACATGTTATGACAATGGCGGCTATTCCTGCCTTATTGGCTGACTGGCTCCGGGGGTCGGATTTCACGCATTGGATGCACGTTGAGGGGACGTCCACGTTGTTGCATTGGAGTTGAATTATGTTGTCGTCGGCAGAAACAAGATTCCAATGGTCGGCATAGTTGAAGGAGGTTGAAAGAAGAAGGAGAAGACCGAGATGGGAAAGAGGTAAAGCGATTCCCATGGATGCTTTTTTCAAGTTCATATGAAGCTCTTCAAGGTAATGTGTGTATATATACACAATGAAGCTTGAAAAAAATATAATTTATTAGGTTCAAAAGGTTACTATATAATTATTATTGTATGCAAAAATAATGAAATAATAATAATTTTCAAAAGTAGAATTATAATGTTGTGCTTGTGTTGTGTTATTCCTTTAACTGCTTTTTGGCTTACATATTGGATGTCAAATTCAGACAATAAGATTTGCCAACGAGCCAATCTTCCAGATAAAGCATGTACACCCATTAGATATTTCAGAGGATCAAGTTTAGATATCAGCCAAGTAGTGTGATACAACATATACTGCCTGAGCCTTCGGGTTGTCCAAACTAGAGCACAACACAACTTTTCTATTGGTGAGTACTTTGCCTCGCAATCAGTGAACTTTTTGCTGAGATAATAGATTGCTCTTTCTCTCTTCTCAATTTAGTCATGTTGCCCTAATACGCACCCCATTGAATTCTCAAAGATTGATAAGTAGAGGATTAATGGTTTGCCTGATATTGGTGGAATTAAGACTGGAGCATTCGACAAATATCCTTTTATTGCTTCAAAAGCTCCTTGACAATCAGCGTTCCATACCCCTGGGTTATTTTTACGAAGAATGCGAAAAATAGGAACGCACTTCTCAGTTAGTTGCGAAATAAATCGGGAAATATAGTTTAATCTTCCCATGAATCCTCGAACTTCTTTCTGTGTTTGTGGGGGTGGTAAATCCTTAATAGCTTTGACCTTGTCAGTATCTACTTCAATCTCTTTTTTGCTTACTACAAACCCCAAGAGTTTTCTCGATGTTACCCCGAATGTACACTTGCTTGTATTGAGTTTTAATTAGCATTTCCTTAATCTTTGAAAGAGTTTCCTCAGATTCTCGATGTGTTCTTCCTCCGTTTTAGATTTAACAATCATATCATCGACTTAGACCTCTATCTCCTTATGCATCATGTCGTGGAATAGTGTTACCATGACCCTTTGATAGGTTGCCTCTATATTCTTTAGCCCAAACGGCATCACTTTGTAACAGAACGTGCCCCACATGGTGACAAACGTAGTCTTTTCCATATCATCTGGATGCATCTTTATTTGATTGTAACCTGAGAACCCATCCATAAACGAAAATAGAAAGTTTCCGGCCATATTGTCTACCAGAGAGTCTATATGTGGCAGAGGGAAATTATCTTTCGGGCTGGCCCAATTAAGATCTCTGTAGTCGACGCACATGCAAACTTTCCCATCCTTCTTTGGTACTAGAACAACGTTTGCTACCCATTCTGGATACTTGGCTACTTTTAGGAACCCAACATCGAATTGCTTCTTTAGTTCTTCTTTAATTTTAAGTAACATTTCGGGTCGCATCCTTCTGAGTTTTTGTTGTACCGATTTACACTCGGGCTTTATTGGCAACTTATGTACCACGAACTTAGTGTCTAACCCTGGCATATCCTCATACGACCAAGCAAAAGCATCTTTGTATTCTCAAAGCAGCTCAATCAGACTTTGTCGTCCCTTAGCAGATATCATGGTGCAAATTTTTATCTCATTTTTGTCTTTCTCTGATACCAGATTCAAAATCTCAATGGGCTCTTCATGAGGCAGAATTTGTTTATCTTCTATCTCTACCATTTTTAGTAGTTCAGAAGGTAAGTCGTTTCCCTCATCACTATCATAACCTCCAACTTCCCCTTGACATATGGGCATCTCGAAATCTATCTTCGGGTCAGAGTCATCAGCATTCATACTATTGATATCGGAGGTCCTGAAAGAATAAAGAACGAGAGGATATATATATATGTATACAAATACATGAGAATCTATCCCATATCAAAATAGAATGAATAAATAAAGAAATAAAAAATATGCAATGGATGATGTTTGCCATTTTGTGAATAAACAGGAATGCATCATTTATTGAAATAAAAAAACAAATAGATTAACCCCTTATAAATGATCATCTATTGTCCCGGGATTTAGACAATAGGGAAAGTTTTTGTGCATTACTCTGAAACAGTTTTGTAAACTACAGGTAATTCTTCTGCAATCCAATTGTTTAGCACAAAGCCCAGTGGTGCGGGATAGATGCCCATAGCCTTTCCGTCTTCGATTCCTTCCTCTGATATCATATTTATACCCAAATCCCTCAGGGCATTTTTAATAACAGGCTCTTTAGATGATCTGGCCCCCTGAAACATGTGGCCCCTAGATATGAAGGTGTCACGTAGCGGTGGGAAAATCATGGGCTCCCACTTAATATCCTCCCCGGCTAACCTGGCTTTCCTCATTTCCTGGCTCTTTTGAACATTTTTCAACTTTTCTTTTAAGGTCAGAAAATATCCCAGACCAAAACGATCTCGCTTAATACTGGGAAAAACTGGACTAATATTCCCTTGTAAGCGACTCCCTAGCCCTCTTCCAACCTCAGCTCCTCTTCCCAGAGTCATTTTCAGTCCCATTCTAGTACAATTGGACAACCTAGGCTTCAGAATTTTCTTTCTCTCAGCAATAAAGGTGGCATTAACGAATTCTAGGGCTCTGAAAGAACACTCGACCGCATCTTCATCTACTTCGATATATGGAGCGGTAATATATATGGAAGCAATGATGCCTTCCTCGGCATTAAGGCATATAAGTCTCCCCTCTATTACAAATTTGAGTTTCTGATGCAGAGTGGATGGTACAGCTCCTGCCTGGTGGATCCAATGCCTTCCCAACAAATAGTTATAAGAGGGCATTATATCAATTACAAGGAATTCGACCTCGTAGGTTGATGGGCCTATAGTTAAGGGAATATCGATCTTCCCCAATACCTCATTCTTCGTTCCGTCGAAAGCTCGAACGATGCTTTTGCAATTTTTCATGTGTGTACTATCGACCGGCAGTTTCTTCAAGGTTACTAATGGCATCACATTCAGGGCAGCGCCGTTGTCGATTAGTACTCGTGATAATACATGTCCCTTGCACCTGATAGTAATGTGCAAGGCTTTGGGATTGCCCATAATTTCGGACGGGATATCGTTATCAGAGAAAAAGATGAAGTTATTCTCCTGAATATTCACAACCAATTGGTCTATCTTTTCCACTGGTACATATTTCTGTACGAAAGTCTGATTCAAGACTTTTAACAAGGCATCTCCATGTGCCTCAGAGTTTAATAGTAGAGCCAGGATCGAGATGCGAGCTGGCAACTTGTGTAGTTGTTCGACGATGTTGTACTCGCTATGCTTCATAAATTTTAAAAACTCCACAGCCTCGTTCTCCGTTACCGGCTCATTAATTGTCGGCTTATCATCTTTCAGTAGTATTTTGACCTTTTTCCCTTTATCAGGGGCCACTCTTTTCTCGGGTTCACTGGTCTAGTTGGGAGAATAACATCTCCCACTTCTGGTGAAATGGCCTACCTCATCCACCTCTTCCTTAGTAGTCTTTAAACTCTCAACATTTTCTAGTTGGCATCCATACCTCCAAGAGACCTGTTTGTTGTCCTTATAAGGAAATGACGACAGAGGTGTGATCACCACTTTTGGGATTAACTTTTCAGTAGTATGGGCTTTCAGTGTGATGACTAAAGGGCGGTTAGTATTGTAAACTCCCATGAATGCGCCTTCGGAAGCGCAAATCTCCATCTCTTTCTCTTTCGTAGCTTCATGGTAAAATTCCATGGCATTACTATCTATCCGCCTTTGAACCAAGGCCTTAAACTCATCACAGTTTTGAATGACATGATCTCCGTAGCAGTGGTAGGGACAAGCGTGCTTATTCCCATCAGCACTAAAGGTCAACCAACCTGCTTTGACCATTTGCCCCCATACCCAATACATGGGTGACTTCACTTGATTGACTTTGGATATGACTATGTTCCCTCTTTCTTCAATAATAGTATTAACCCCTGTCCCTATATGGTTCGACAGAGGGTTCTGAGCTACATTGGGCTGCTCACTGTCACCGAAGTTGATGACATTTCTTTTTCTTAATCTCTGCACCAACTTTTTAAAGACAAGACAGTTTTCAATTGAATGCCCCGACGCCCCCGCATGATACTCACATTGAGCATTGATGGCAAACCATTTTGGGTAAGGAGGTTGCATTGGAGAAGTGGGGTAAGGTGACACCACATGTTTGTCATACAAGATCCGGAATAGTTCTTTATACGTCAAATTGAACCTTTTCCCTTTCCTGTTTTGGTTCTTTCGTCCCTTACTTAACAGGACTTAGTGCAGATGACGTGGTGGCTTGAGGTCGGGATACTGTAATGTTATTAGAATCATATTTCTTTACATTACTGACCTCATTATCCTTTCTTCTCGCTGGAGGTTTTCGGCTAGATTCTCCCTCGTCTAGCTTACCGCTTTTGATTGTAATCTCGATCATTTCCCCTGCATTAACTATATCAGCAAAATTCTTGGACGGATTTCTAATGAGATGTCAAAAGAATGGGGCCCTTAAAGTATTCACAAAAAACATATTAGTTTCTTCCTCCTCTAACGGTGGATGAACTTGTACAGCCACATCTCTCCACCTTTGGGCATATTGTCTGAAGCTCTCGTTGGATCTTTTTTCCATACTCAATAACAGAAGTCGGTTCGGCCTCACATCTTTTACATGTTTATATTGCTCAAGGAAAGCCTTAGCCAAATCCTTTCATGATTTAATCTGAGCCCGACTTAGCTGATTGTACCAACTGATTGCTGAGCCTGCTAGGCTTTCTTGAATGCAATTAATCAATAGCTGATCGTTTTCCACATAGCCTGTCATTTTTCTGCAAAACATGGTAATGTGTGCAGAAGGACAACTGGTGTCATCAAATTTCTCGAAGTCTGGAACTTTGAACTTTGGTGACAGTACTAAATCAGGGACCAGACTTAGCTCTCTGGCTTCGATTCCATATAGGCTAGCATTTTCTTTCATAGCTCGGAATTCATGCTTCATTTGTTCCCATTCTTTTTTAATCTCTTTATCATGTTCTTT